CCCCCCCGCCCCCTTCCAGGGCGTTCACCTTTGAAGTCCGACCCTGCGCTGGGGGCTTCCGTTTGTCTGGCGGGGATGCCAGGAACCTGGAAAACATCCAGAGCGACGTTCTTGCATTCTGGCTTGCTGGAAAATATTTCAAAAAACCATAAAGAATCAGGGGGTGATTATTGTATTTATTGGCATCCGGCTGTTTTTTTTCTTCTTTTCAATTCTGCTGGTCCTGGACCCAATCAGTGTGGGTTTGACCGATGGGATCCTGCTTGTGTTGCCGAGGTCGGTCCACCACTGGAGGCAGCCCAGCCCCTTCAGCCGCCTCGCCCCCCCCTCGCCCCCCCCCCACGCTGGAAGAAATGCAAATTGCCTCCTGATTTGCAAAAGTAAGAGGCAAAGGATTAAAATAACCGCTCAAAGCCCACTTGAATGAGAGCGAGAGAGCCAGCCAGCCACCTGCAGCCGGAAGCAGGAGGAGGAGGAAGGGACGAAGGGTGGTGGAGGGCCACAGTCGCTCCATTGTCCAAGAACAAACGGAGGCAGATTAAAATTGCAAACTCTTGGGAAAGAAAGAAAGAAAGAAAGAAAGAAAGAAAGAAAGAAAGAAAGAAAGAAAGAAAAAGGAGGGAAGTGAAGAGGGGAGGGAAGGAAGTAAAAAAAAAGAAAAAATGAGGGAGGGAAGGAAGGAAAGAAGTAAGTAAGAAACAGAAGGAAGGAAGGAAGAGAAAGGAAAGAAGGAAGGAAAGAAGGAAGGAAGGAAAAAGAGGGAAGCAGAGGGAGGGAGGAAGAATAAGAAAGAAAGTGGGAGGGAGGGAAATGAAGGGAGGGAGGGAAGAAAGGAAGGAAAAAAGAAAGAAAGAATGACGGAAGGAAGGAAGGAAAGAAGGAAGAAAAACAGAAGGAAGGAAGAGAAAGAAAGAGGGAGGGAGGGACGGAGGGAGGGAAGGAAAAAAGAAAGAGAAAGAAAGAGGGAGGGAGGGAAGGAAAGAAGGAAGAAAAACAGAAGGAAGGAAGAGAAAGAAAGAAAGAAAGAAAGAAAAAGAAGGAAGAAAAACAGAAGGAAGGAAGAGAAAGAAAGAAAGAAAGAGGAAGGGAGGGGAATTCTGGGAATTGGGGTCCACAAATCTTAAAGTGGCCAAGATCTCTCACCACCCCTTTAGTGACCGCTTAAGAGCTGCCATCTCCGAATCTATGGGGGGCTGCGGAGAGTCAGTGGGGGGGGGAAAGCCCCCTTTGATTCCTTGATAGGCAAAAAAAAAGTTGGTCAGCAACTCCAGGAGCAGCACAGCTGCCTTTCACGCCATCCACACCC